TCGTCGTCACCAGAACCCGGCCTGTCAGATGGTCTCCTGTCCAGTGGTGTCCAATGGCTCTCTGAAAGGAGCTTTGAGTATGGTAAGTGAGTGGCGGCATGCGAGCATCTCAGCTCAAACTTTTCGCCGTTTGATGGCCGGACTCGTGCCGCCCCGACTGGACTCGGAAGTGGTGGAGACGGCCGTCGGACTGAGGGGGCCGACGTCGATCTCCTCGTCGTCCTCCTCATCGTCGATGCCGATGTCCTCGTCCCAGCTGGCGATGCTATTCTCGTCGTCGTCCGATGTCACATTCAGCAGTTGCTCCTCTTTGGAGCTGGTGTCACTGTGAGAGGCTGTGCCGGCGAGAGCATCCACGCTGAAGCGATGCAGCGAGGAGATCTTGCCGTTGCCGTTGCCCGTCGCCGAGCGGCCACCGAAAGCAGAGTGAAGGCTGTGCATGCTCGATGCATTCCGACTGGAGTGCATTTGCAGCTTCTGGTGAGCCATTTGCTGGTGCATTAGTCTGTTCATGTGAAGGGAAAAAGACAAAGAAAAAAGGAAAACACACCGACCAATTAGTACCAATTAGTATTAATGTAAAGTTTCTGAAACGCTTTTGCAAACAAGAGGACTCATTCTCTTGGAACATGTGTCCATTTGCAGCATTTTTTTTATTGTTAAGGTAAATTAATTTCACATTAGAGAGTGGAACGCGTGCAGCGACAGTGGTGGCGGTGTGGCCTTGTTGGAGACTGCTGTGCCTCTGCTCTGCCCACAAAAGCAGTATGCAGGCGATGGACAAGCAACAGAAGCAACATCAACAGCAAAACGCTCAACTCATCGATTGAAGAGTGAAAACAAATGGCTGAGGTAATTGGCGTCTTGTCCGACTAATGGCCGTATGAATGTTAATCACCGGTGACGTACAAGCTGCAGCAGCTGTCCCAAGTTGGCACTCATTGACTTGTTAATTTGTCGAGGGCCACTTAATTACCACCCGTCCGCCGCCGCCGTTCGATCGCTGAGCCTATCGGACCTAAACAGCAAACTCTAATGAATACTAATCGGGCGGGCGTGTGTGGGCTCGAGCAGAGAGCTAGCTAGTTCACTTGGTTGCCACCAAGCCCAATAGACCTAATCACAGAAAGAGACACCGGGCGAAGAGAGCGCAATCAGTGCAAGTCGTGTGCCACCACTGCGGTGGCTGCCACTGTTGCAGCTTCTGTCGAGTGAGCGGACATGACAACAGTTGCCAGGGTAGAGAGAATTTCATGAGGCAATGGCTGCAGGCATAACGGGTACAGCTTACATTGTCTTCGCTGACAGACAAATTGCCGCAAAGTGGCCCGTTAGAGGAGCGACGACAGCAGGCCGAAGTGATCAAGGGTGCTGCTTACTTCACCGAATACTTGACCCGTGCATCCGCCGCCGACTGAATAGCTGAAGCAGAATACTCATTGTTAGATCACTGCTCAACATCAGTAGATTTTTCGCCCCAGGCAAAATGTATTTTCACTGCTTCAACAACATGTACTGAAGCGTAGTTCACCAGACTATGGTGTTATTAATTTGCAGAAGGTCATTGGGCGACAAATTCTGATCAGCAGTGTCACTCAACTCAATGAGCACACATAGAAGGATAAAGAATTTAGCAAACAGGGCACTNTGCAGAAGGTCATTGGGCGACAAATTCTGATCAGCAGTGTCACTCAACTCAATGAGCACACATAGAAGGATAGAGAATTTAGCAAACAGAGCACTGAGCATTCATCAGATGGCAATTATATTACCGGCCTAAGGGCAAACTAAAATGATCAATTTCTTAGAACGTGTGCACACGTCGTCGTCGTGTGTCTGAACAAACAAATACAAGCACACACACACTCAAACACTGCAATTACACTTACCAGTCAATTGCTCGATATTTGGCTAATGGTGCCGGTGGCTGCCTTACAGACAGAAGCTCCAGCAGCAGAGAAAAAAGCTGCATCACGTACCAGAGAAGTAGTGTGAGAACGACAATGATCACACACTATAAATCATTACGAAAACGTATATGGCAATTATTGCCATTTGACATTCGCTAATCGACATCTGATCAGATGGTTAATATCAGAGTAAATAAACAGAGAATTGATGCTATCAAAAATAATTTGCAGTTAGTATATTCTAAATTCTGTAGAGAATTGGGCAGTGCCCATTTGCATATGATTCGTTTTAAATGTTTCGCTTTGCCCAACTTTAAAGTCGGTCAATGTGAGGGCGACTGTGACCGCGAGCAGTTCACTGTCTTTTCGAGTGCAATCTGAGCGCTTATAATGTCAGAATGGCCACTTAGTGAGGAGTATTCTTGAAGACAGTGAAGAGTAGTAAGCTTAGATTTGCCGCGATTTGCATTAGCCATGACGCATTTGGCATCGATAAAGCAGCGCCCGAACGCGCTCTCGTTCGGCCATTATCGCACTCTCTACTGAAGAGAGAAGACTAATCCGATACGAAATCGTGGTCTTCGATTGTCTATCGAAAGTAAATAAGTAACTGACTGCAAAGTAAGTGTCGAGACTTGGCAAATCGCCTGCTTAGAAGCTGCGCGTCGGTGCCCTCTGCCGAAGAGCAGTCTGCTCCCTCTTTCCCTGCACTGTGAGTTTCAAATGGCTAGCGAAACAATTAGTTAAGGAGCTTACTCAGTAGGCATTAGCTAGACAAACAATGCACCGAAAGAGGATCGAGACAGAGTGGACAACGAGAGAGAGAGAGAGAGAGAGAAGCAGACAGACAGTGGACTGCCTGATCATTGAGCGCCAGCACTACTTCACTGGTTCAGTGTAGAGAACAGACGCACTAGTAAACAGAGAGCGACTACAGTTGAGAACCGAGGAGAGTGAATGAAATGACAAGTTAACTCTAATAAGAGGATGACATCCAATCGGCAATAATTAGATGCCTCACTAGCTCCTAGCTTCTAGTGCTCTTTCACTTGCTGATTAGGCCTGGCCTGAACACACATTAGTCTGCCAGACAGTGTTTACTTTGTCATCGAGGTACCATTGGCTGCTTGTGCTGGGCACAAAAGGATACACAAGCGCACTAGTGCACACGGTCCACGAGGCGACGGACGTTGCCACTTCTGCCGGTGCACACCGAATCACGCTTCCTTTCGAACGGTGGCACGCGAAGCACTCCAGTAAACTCGACAGTGGCAGTGCAGTCCAAATTAATAAAGACATTGGAAGAGCATGCAACTGTAGAACATGTAATTGGAGAGATTGGTCATCGCCTCTCTGCAGAGAGAAAAGACGCCTTAATGAGATGAAAAGTGGGCAAATTAGTGAGCTCAACGGACGATCAGCTCAGTGGAAAGAACAGCAGCGGCAATGTTACTGCTGCTGATGATGATCCATTAGAAAACAATTAGATGGACAGGCACTGGTGGTCAGTCTGGCAACGTCTGTCACGGCACACAGAGTACTGACCACTGCAGCAGGTGATTCGCTCAGGCAGTGCGCGCCCGACAAAAGTTGCCGTGATTAGACGAACATACTTTTCAATTGAAGGTAATTCAATTAACAAAGACAATGATGTACTGCACGCAATGAGTTAATCAATTAGTCCATTGGGACAGAAAACGGACAATCAGCAGGCAAGATCGATTAATTTATGTGAGAAAGTGAAATGAAGATTTCATCGCAAAGTGAAAGTGACAACGATAAAGTGTATAGCCTGGCTACTCAAACATTCACTTTGCATTTAAATCAATTTTGTGGCTAGTATCAGTTGAGTGTGAGTGAATAGCTATCACAGTTATCAGTTTGTTTGCGCTGATTATGAGCTCGCAATTTTTTCATTCCAATTAGCAGAGATATTGGCGCTATGACATGAACACACCTGCAGGGCATGATATGAAACAGCTAAGCAAGTGACGTAATTAGCAATGTAGAGACAGGGGTTGACTATCAAAAAATAAAAATCAAGAGAGCTAAAAAATTGAAATAGAGAAACTAACAGAACGATACATCTCGTCGCAGTACATAAACAGGGCATTAATTAGGACTGATAAATCAGTTTCAGTAAATGTTTGCTTTTGTGATTAGTCAGCTGACGAAGGCAGGGTAACGAGAAAGAGAGAAAGCAAGTAAGGTAAGACTGTCTTGTTATTAGTAGTAGTAGTAGTAGTAGTAGTAGTAGTAGTAGTAGTAGTAGTCACAGCGAAAGGATCCGCTTGAGCACTTGCAGTGATTTTGATAGCAACAGCATCTCCGTTTGACAGAGAACATTCTTCAGCAGCAGCATGCTCACTTCTCAAACGAAACGAAATGATCTGACAGATAGGTTGCCTAAGTAAGACTAGTCAGGAGCAACTGTGTAATGCCAAAGTGCAGCGCAAACAAAAGCTCAACTAATGACGAGAGTGTTCTCGCTCTCTGCTTCCTCTTTGCCTCACTCTTCACCGAACTGAACGAACTGCTGCTCGGCGCCGCACGGCAGTCAAAACTGAAACTGCCAAAATCATAGAGCTTATTATGTTACCATCGCTTGTGCGCCACCATTATTGAGATAATAGATTTACCGACGATGAAGCGCCATACTGGCGGACAAAAAGCAGTGTGTGTGTAGGAGAGAGAGTAAAAGACAGCTAAGCTGAGAGTGCACAACTTTCCCCGTACAGCTAGCTGGCCGTAATAGCATCGGCAAATAGAAATTGAATCGAAAATGGCACACACACAGACACACTCAGGTCTAGTCGTCATTAGACTAATGCTCCCATGTAGCACTGACGATGATTGCAGCAGAGGAAAAAAGAAGGAACATCATATTACTTTACATCCTAGAGATTAGAGAAAGACGAGCGGCTGAATGGCAAAGTCACCAGGCACTGATGTCATATAGGATTTTCTGCATCAGCATGATGCTGCATGCAAATGTTATTAACAATGAAAATGTGCACAACGCAGACTACTACTTATAGAGTTGAAGATACCAGAAAAAAGACACCCAAAAAGGGACAAACAACTGAACACCTACCTGTTCTTGGCGGCGGCTGCTCTATCACGTTGACGGCGATTCTTGAACCAATTACCAACTGCAATGAGAGAGAAAGAGACAGAGGAAAAAGTGAATTAGAAGGGAAAATTGAGCTGAGTTGAACTCAAGCAGTTCAAGACATATTCCTTTGAAGTATCATTGTATTTACCTTGTGTGGGCGTGAGACCGGTGGCCTGTGCGAGTTCGCGCTTTTTAGTAGGGTTAGGATATGGATCTTGGAGGTACCATTCACGGAGGAGAGATCGAGTGCGCTCTTTGAAGCAGTGCGTCTTCTGTTCGCCGTCCCAAATGGTACGCGGCAGTGGGTACTTCTTCCGCACGCGGTACTTGTCCACCGGACCGAGCGGTCTGCCGCGAAGCTTCTCTGCCTCCTGGTAGTGTGCCTCCAGCCACATGGCCTGCAGTTTGGAGTGCGAACTCTTTGTGAAGCGGTGATGCTCCAGAATGTGGTACAGCTCGCGAAAGTTGCCAGTGTGAAAGGCGACCAGTCCCCGGGCGCGCAGGACCGACTCGTTTTTGTTCAGCTCAGCACAGTTCGGATGCGCCACCGGCAATGACCAGAGAAAGCGGCCCAGTCGCTCAATGTCGCCGCTCTCCTCCAGCGTCTCACAGACGGCCGCCACCTGGGTCACGGTGAAGTTCAGCGTGGGCAGCATGAACATGGCCGCCGCTGGGTGGCTCCCGTAGACGGCGGCCGCCGCAGCCGCTGCCGCCGCCGAGTTCTGCTGACTGGTGGGCGAGTTGGGCGAGTGGGCGGCAGCGCCCAGTCCGCCGATTGCACCGTTGGCCATGGCCGAGGCGGAGAGGGCGGCCAGGGCGGCGGCCGTGCCCAGGCCCAGCGCCGTCATGCCATGGAGTGGCGGCGCCCCGAAGGGCAGCCCCGAGAGGGCTGACAGCGGCGACAGGACGGAGGCCACTGCGGAGGCGGAGGAGGAGGTGGTGGAGGAGGAGGACGTCTTCGAAGGCTTCTCTGGCGACGGGGAGCGATCTATAGAGGAGCTGTACTTGAGCGAGGAGCTCGAGTGGTTGGAGATGGAGGAGGAGATCGACGATGAGGAGCCCTCACCGAGGTGGAGAACCTCCCCGTGTGATGCCAGGTCCGCGGCCAGCTTGGACCGGTAGTGGCCGAGCGGTGAGCTGGCCACTTTTGTTGTCAGATCGATGACTGAGTTGGTGGAGAAGCACAAAGTCAGAATAGGTGAATGGCGGGATGACGATGAGATTGTCAATGAGAAGACACTGATGTGATGGTGAGTGCTGTCGCTGGTGGTGGTGGTGGTGGTAGTGTCGGTGTTGATGTTGGTGTTGGTGTTGNCTTTTGTTGTCAGATCGATGACTGAGTTGGTGGAGAAGCACAAAGTCAGAATGGGTGAATGGCGGGATGAGATTGTCAATGAGTAAGCACTGATGTGATGGTGAGTGCTGTCGCTGGTGGTGGTGGTAGTAGTGTCGGTGTTGGTGTTGGTGTTGGTGTTGGTGTTACTCAGCGAAGACGCCGAAGGACAAAAGAAGTTGTTGGCAAGTGGCGAAGCCGTGCAAGTGACGGCAGTCAGGAGCAGTCTTTCAGTTCAGCAGCAGCAGCCTGCCGCACTGGTGCTCAGTCAGCGAGTGTATGAGTCCGTATCGTTGGGCGATAGCTTGCCGTCTAATAGAGCCTGGCAGAGAATGAGCCTGAAAAGCGATCTCTAGCTTCAATTTCTGCTGCGCGTAAACACTGGCAAGGGTGGAGTCGCCAAGCATTGATACGTCCCCTATTGGACTGGATTGATTTCAACTTGCTTCGCCGTCGGCATCCCCACACCCCTCGCCGCTGTGGCAATCGCCTCCGAGGCTAGCCTAGCCGAAGGCAAGTGTCGAAACGATATCTGAAGAGAGAGAGAGAAAGAAAGAGAGAAAGAGAAAGAGAGATTCGCAGTACAACTACTACTGCGGTGTGTGCCGTGTTAGCGGCATGGTGGTAAGGTAATATCAAGACAAGAAGCGCAGTCGTGTCATGGAGCTATCGGTGAAACTTTTGTTTGCACCCTTAGAGCTTCGTGCAACCGAGCCAGTGGAGAGAAGGAAAGAGAGAAGGAAAGAAAGAAAGAAAGAAAAGAAGAGAACAGACTGAGAAAGAGAAAGACATGGAGCAGTGTGTGGAACCGCCAACTGGAAAGTCTGAGGCTGCAGTCAGAGTGGCACGCTTCGGTGGCCAGGTCCGCCTCCAGAGGCAGTGCCTATCTGCCAAATGTAGCCAATAGTGAGCTTCGTCTGAAGCAGACCAACTGAAGCCACCAGTTTGAGGAGAAGTCAGCACCGAGGAGCACAGCAGATTGTGAAGAACATCGATCGATTCGAGTGACCAGCTGGCGACGACAAAGAGAGGGAGAGATGAAGAGCGGGGAAAGCAGTGGCACATCGGACACACCAAGTGAAGAGTCTTCAGAGAGGACAGCAACGACAGACTGACAGAGTTGTAGTACAACTGCAGGCAGTAGTTGTGTTGTGTATTGCCAGTGATAATGGCATCTGCGGCAGTGTCTGTCTCACCAGTCTTCTCCGTAGTCTATTATCCTTAATGGCCATCACTTAGATGGCACCGAGTGAGAATGGAGAATGGAGGAGCAATGAAGACAGGCATTTCCCCGTAGCTGAAGGCGCACTGATAGCATCTCTGTGGCTACTAGCCACCTCAGATGAGGAGGAAGAGGACCAGGCACAGGCACACTCTCAGGAAGGCATTGTTTTTGCTGGCTCACTGCCGAGCAGACAATTGCTGGGCAAACTGCTGCTCCTGGGAGAATGAGAGAATCGAGGTGGCAATTAGTCTGCTTAAGTGGATCGCACAAACAGCACACAACCGAGTGCTACCAGTGCTTATCTTGAAGGAAGCTCCACCGCTACTAGCTTCGGACGAACAGCAACAGCAGCAGTGGGCAGCGCGAAACTGAAGTAAGTGGCCAATGAAGACATCACCTGCAAATCAATCACACTAGCAAACAGACCACAAACAAGGCAAGACAAAGATGACACAGAAGTTCTGCAGCAGGGACAGCAGAGAGACTGCATTGGGCCAATCTAATCGTGCCATGTTAGAGGGCCCGTCAATCAGCCCTCTTCAAGTCTACCCACCTACCTGTCTTTGTTCTGGCTGCCTCCCATCTGGCAATAATTATAAAATTATTTCACAAATGTGTCAATTCACTCTGACAGAAAAAATGTACATTTCAAAAGAAGGCAGGCACTTGCAATGATAATTATTCTTGTGGAAGGAATTTCTCGCGCGATAATGAGAATTGATAAAAAGGAAGCCTCAGACTGCCTGTGACTGCACCGCTTTGGGCCCATTGACTCAGCTGTAAGTGTGTTTGTGTGTGTGAGAAAAGTTTGATGATGAGCCAGAAAACATTCAGTGAGCAATTAAGCAGAAGGCAGCCACTTGAAGAACAAGTGAAACATGCCAACAGCAATTGTTCGATCAGAGATTGAAACACTTGCCCCACTCGAAGATACTCTACTACAGCTGTACTCGTCGGTATTTGGAACTGGACAGGAGCTGCCAAGTGCTAGCCTGGCACTGCTCTAAGTGATCGATCGAGTTTGATTTGTTTGCAAACACAAACAGGGCCACTTGGCATCCTCTTCTTCTTCTCCTCTGCCACCACGGCATCACCACTTGCTATTATTAGTGCAGCCAAATTGTCCGTGCCTGTGTGAGCAAACAAGGCGGAGAAGTGCTTGCTTTTAAAGTGCCATTCCAAGATGACTTACTGCCACTGTGCTTGGTGATTAGAGCCATGCGAGCTGGAAAAAGCTGCGATTCTTGTGCCACCACTCACTTTGCTCTGCCTCGATGGAAGAAGAGTGTGGAGACAACTGGCACAAGCGTGAAAATGAGCGCCCCACAGATGCCTCCGTTGACATGCAAATTGACACAGACTCGTGCATCACTTTGGCCCTTTGCGTGGTAGCACTGCTCGCTGTTCTGCAAATGAGTTGTTGAGGAAAAGATGCAACTGGAGTAACGGTGCGGCAGTAGCGGCAGACTTGCTTGTGTGCTGTTTGCAAAACAAAACTATTACCGCGTGCGCCAAGATCAGTACTCTGGTGCTCGGGAGACAGTACTCTGCCTATGTATTAAACTAATACAGACGGCAGAAAGCCTCTTCCTAGTGTTGAACAACTTTTCCATCGTTCATCTGAGCAGAATAAAATTTCATTTTCTAAAATGCCTCCTTTTACCACTACA